TTTTTCCATTCTTTGCTATCCTGATATGTCCTTTGAGGCATAAACGTTTTAAATGCTGATGATGTTCAGTTTTGTTGCTTAGGCTCACACTTTGAGAAACATTGCGAAGTCACAATTGACAGGAAATCTGGGGCTCCTTCTCTGGGCTGGATGCAGAGTCCCAGGGGACCTTCACCATGTTTACATCCCCTCCCAAGTGTGGGACTTCGTTTCCCCACCCCAGCCAGCTGAGGCTCCTTCTCTGGGCTGGATGCAGAGAGTCCCAGGGGACCTTCACCATGTTTACATCCCCTCCCACTCCTGAGGTCTACCACAATAGAGCAGCTGAAATGACAGTTTGCAAATGTCCTTTATTGTGAAAACTCAATGGCCTTTGTCTCTGGAATTTGAAATTTTGATGCACATGTTGGCAGCCAAGAGTTTGGAAGGAGGAGGGGAAGGGCCCAGAGAAGAAACCACGCCATTGATTTCCATAGTGAGTCATTTCTACTCTATGTTGTCTTGGTTTTTCTCACCCATAAAGTGGGGGAAATACCTCCATCTCCCCATGTCGGTGGGGGTACGATGAAGAAGAACACTTTGAGATCTTGGATTAAAGGCATCACTGAGGCACAAGGTATTATTATAACAATAAATTATTTAATAGCAGGGAGAGTGAAGCTACTAAAGCTAGAATGGATAGGGGCAGGAAGGAGAGAGGCTGTGAGTTGTGGATGGAGGAGCTGCAGCCTACAGCTCCTGGGCCCAGAGACAGGTTTTTATTCTTAGAGGTGAGATTGTAGGTTTCTCCCAAATGGTTTGGGTTATTTCATCTGATTCAGCAGTGCTTTACTGAGTGCTTCTGTAAGAAAACATGACACTCTTTTTTGGAAATAAACTAGATGTATATATACATTAAAACCATTAGAAACAATGCAAGACATTATAATCAAATGCTGAATTGAATATAATAAGTATCAAAAAGAAAGACTAGATGGTGAAGTGCAGTGGTCCCATTATGCATCCCAGGTCTATCACACTAGTGTGTGATCTTGGCTCCTCAGTTTCTTCTTTTTCTGTGACTGCAACTGTTCATTTAAAAGGCTTAGAATAATGGCTAGCACATAGGAAGCACTCAATGTGGGATCTACCTGGGATTTCGTCTTGCACTCCTTTTTTGGTTACACAACCTTGGCCAAGTTGCTAGATCCCTCCCATCCTCAGTTATCCAATCTGTAAAATGGGTATACAGATAGTTACTGGCTCCCTAGGCGGCTGTGTAGGCGACGGGAGACAATGTAAATCGCATAGTACCTACAAATGGTAAGCATTCGCTAAATGAGTTATTATTACAGTCATTAACACTATTTCCCGCCCCGGTGGAGGAGTAAGGGGTGCGCTCAAGGATTAGTTGAATCATCAGCTTTCTCAGGAAGCTGGAATATGAGGTGGGCAGGAAGGTACTGGTAGGATTCCGGTGAGCAGAGAAGAAAGCGGGATCCAAGAAGACGGAGGCCTGAGGACGGACTGCCGTCAGTAAGGCAAGAAAGGACCGGGCCTTCTCCAATTGTCCTGCAGCCCGGAGCCTGGCCGGCTGCATCTGGTCCAGCCGTGGCGGCTGTTTACCTCCGAAACCCCTTCCACGTTCTCGACTCTCACCTTCCCAGTCGGCCGGTGCAGGCTCAGCAGGGCAGGCGCAGACCCTCCTCCCTGAGGAATTTGGGTCCGCGTCCCGGGCCCGCGAGGCCCAGCGCATACCTCCTCCCCCGCAGTCAGGAGCCCCGCTGTCTTCACCTCACCCTCCGCCCGGATCCTGTTTCAAAGTCACCTGAAAGCCATTTCCTTCCGCGTCCGCCCCTCCCCTCCCCGCCCCTCCCCGCCCAGTAAATCTGCTGGAGCTTGCTTG